CCTGCATTGCGCGGCGGTGGGGCGACGGTAGCGCAGTGGTGACACTCGCGCCTCGCAGCAACGAGAGCCTGGGTTCGACTCCTCACTCGGGTGCCCTTTCTGTGGGAGGTTTGTGTATGCTCTAGCCCTGTTCTGCAACAGGTTTCCTCCCGGGTTCTCCCCTAGGCTAAAAAAACAACCACACACAGTCACCGGTATTGGCCAAACGTCCCAATGCTGAAAATATAAAAATGTTAATTACTCAATTGGGATCACGTGCATCAATGTCGCCCCCTGAAAACGAATTGGGGCTTTGCTGGGTAAACAAGTGACACGATAATGATTGACAGGTTGCGCGTGGCTTTGAGCCGTCTCACTTTGAGCCAGAGCAAAGCCCTTAACTCGGGATAACTGGTCTGAGGCTCGTAGAGCCAGAATGTGGCTCATTTCAGTCAGAGCATCTTCTCACCATTGGCATAGTGGCACAACGCTCTCTGCAGGACGGTGCATATGGTCGCTTGCCTCCGTGAGCGTCATTACCGTTGCACACCATTGGCGTCAGTTTCTATAAAAAAAAACTATAAAACAAAAACAAATTTTAGTTTTCCGGATAATACCCACTGAGGCTATGTAGCTCTTTCAGAAGCAACCTGGCCACAAATGATAGCTCAACGAGAAGTGGCTCGTGTGGAAATCTATAGCAGTCAAATACTCTAAACGCGTGCTGTTGATTCTAAATGTGGAGGGGAAAACCGGAGGACCCGGAGACAAATCCACGTGATCATGGCGAGAGAGACACGCAAAATCCAAGCGTCGAGCCCATGACTTGTATGCCAGGCGAGGTAGTTAACATCGCCGCCGCCGCCCTCCCTCTGTGCTGGGCGAACTGAGCAACTGCCTGGCGTGCTCAAGACGTCGAATCTCCACGGCCACGTCGGGGCCCGCACACGGACACGGGCACCACGCCCCACGTTTTGAGATTCAAGGTTCAACTCCTGGTGCAGCTCAGTTGAGCTGCGTTTCCCCAATCGTGTCCAGTTCCAGAGCGAAATGGTCGGAGGCTTCTTCACTCATTGCTATCGGTGGCCCTGAAGCCAACTGGTGCAAATTCCATGGTTCCCATGGTGGGTGTGATTTTCCCCATCCACTATCGACTTAATTGCCCTCGTATAACAATAAGTGGACAATCTTTCGTCCGCAGCAACTCTATAGATTGTTCTGCTTTGCGTATTGTCGTGTTTGTGCCTTTTATCAGCATCTGTTCAAGCAAGCCTGACGCTGCTGATGAGACTGAATGTAGAAACTAGTCCAGAGTTCGCTTGTGCTGTGGCTGTTTGGATGTGTAAATGTAAAATAAATAATAAGAATAATTTCGTGTTTTCAAGCAGAGGGACAGGTGTGCAACGGATGCGTATTTGTCTCCTTATCTATTTTGTCGCCTATTCGTGAAACGTGCCGGCAGCTTGAAGTGAAACACCACAGCGCTGATTTATCAGTACATTCTTGAGATTCGGGGAAGATGCCCAGAGCTTTGTTGTGACCGCAAAAATCCAAAACCGGACCGGTGAGTGCGTGAGAGGACTGGCTCGACCTGGCAGAACCCGTGGAGAACCGTGCAACCCCCTCCACGGCCGCGGCAGCCTCGGCCGGGGCCACAACCCTCGCGGCGGCAGCGGCGGCGGCGGCGGCGGCTCCCGTTACACAAGGACTTGCTCATTGAGCCAGGGCACCGCTCCCAGCGAGCGCACGCTGTGACACGCGCCCTCTGTACCGTTTGCCGCGAAGGATTTCAGTTGTTGGGGTGGGCGGGGGGGGGGAGGGGTTCCAGCGGTTCGTCCGCCCGTGGGCAATCCCACAAGTCGCCCGAGCTCGGCGAAATAATGAAACGCAACTTGACGCCGTGTTGAATATCGAAACTTCTGACGGCTGCATTAGTCGCGTTATTGTGATGATTATTATTATTACTACACTTGTTTACCCAGATTTGTTGCGGTTGAGAGGGGGGGGTGATGGTCGCTGCTCTGTTGCCTGCCAATGCAGTCATTTGTGTCAGTCCGTGGCAAATCAACAAGGGCCTGCTGCAAGCTTGGTGTTTTAGCGGCGCGGAGTTGGAGAGGGTTTTCCTATTTCAGCTCTTGTCGCGACCCGTGATCCCATGGTGATATCTACAAGTGAGAGGTGGAGGTGGAGGGGGGGCGGTCCGTTGGAGGCACTTGTCATATTTGTGGCAAGTTCTTTTTTTGCCGATTTGGACAACGTAGCTGCCGCACGAACGGCCCGCTCTGCAAAGGCGTCGCGCGGCCTTCACCGTCCGCCACCATTCGGGCGGCGTGCAGCGCTTGTGGTTGATGGCGGACATTAACCGGGGATGGCCCGCCGGCCCCGAGCCGCGGACCGCCGCGACGAGCGGACCGCCGCGAACAGCGGGGCGGCGGGGCTGGAATCGTTCCGTCCTTCTGGCGCGATTCGAGGCCGCGAGACCGCGATTTTGATATTGAATGATGAGGTCCGCACGGCGTCACTCCGCTAGCACGTGGCGGCCTCTTTCCCCCCATCCCCCTCCCCGGAACAGCGCAGCACGGTGACGATGCCGCGCGGGGGCCCCGCGGGAATAGCTGCGTCGACGTTTGTTTTGAATCGATGCGGCGACGCGCGCTTTACGCTTTGCAAGCATCAGCGGTGGGCGCCTGCCGAGAGTGGGGAGCGAGCACGTGAGGCTCGTTGACGTTGTGAAAGCAACGCGACACAATGAAAGCAACGCGACACAAAGCGTGTGGAAGAGGTGGGTAGAGGAAGAGCAGAAGGTGAAGTTTGTGTCGACCAAGGCAAGAGGGGGTGGCATAGCGGCGGTAGAGCAAGCAGCTCTCAGTCGGGAGGTTGCAAGCCGCAACTCCCGGTTAGGGCATTTAAACTAAAACTATAAACAATTTTTATTTCACCAGGTAAGGCCCACTGAGCTATATAGCTCTTTTTACAGAACTGGGCTAGCCACAGATGATAACTTAACGAAGTGGCTTATGCGGACATAGCAATAGCCAAATACTCTGAGCACATGTTGATTGTATGTGAAGGGAAAAACCGGAGGACCCGGAGAAAAACTCCAAATATACAGCAGGCGTCAGGTTCAGGATCGAACCCACAACCTCCTGTATTCCAGGCGAGGTAGTTAACATCTTGTTACCGTGGCACCCATCATTCCTCCGGGGTCAGTAACATGAGTACCACCTTGTGGGGGAGGTGAAACGTGGTTGTTCTGTGGAGACTCGCCCCTATCATAGGTTCGCTCCGTATGGTGCGAAAGAAGTCTGGCGTACATACGTGCACAAACACGGATGTGGAATTTCCACCACTGGCTCTGCAGGAGTTTGGGGGGGTGACTTTGGCCGCGTTCATTGACATGTGGTGCCTCCCTCCCCCCCCCCCCCCCCCCCCCCGGAACGTCGTGCGGTGTGTTGAGATGTCACCCGCATGGTTGGCGCTAAGAGAGTTCGCGTTGTCCTGCACCAGGACCACGATTCTCGCGAGGACGTTGAACAATAAGAATAGCCTTTCTGGTAATATAACAGGAGGTGTTCAGATATTCAAACACCAAGTAGGTGCCTGTTTAACATGTAGGTTTAGTAACGTCGTACTCGATTTATTACCGTAGTGGGTTTATTCTCCAGCACACCGGTGTGCCGAACTAGTAACGAATTGCCACGTATTCTTTACGTGTGTCACATGCTGGCGAGTTTAACTACACACATTTACGCAATCTCGGCCAAAATTAATCCCTTGTAGAAATAGATACTTTTCACAAGGCATCAAGTCTGCATTAACTGCATATACTTTGGGCGAATTATGCCAACCAACATGCCCTGATGGTGTATGCATTGTCTTTGAAACTCATTGGCCTACACCAGAGACAGCCTTCTTGATGTTCGACCAGAGGACACCAAAAGGCGAGACAATGCCGGCATGTTGCGATGTGTCACCCTGGTTGTGAGTGAGCTGCGGTGTCGTTTAAAATTTTTTTTTGCACATTTCGACCGCGATGCCTAGTTTATGAATGATGACGTCACGGGATCGTCAACGTCGTCCACTTCTTTCGCACCGTACGTAGCTCGCCGTGCTCATTGGAGGTGCGTGGTAGAATGCGGGCGAGACGCCCGCGGTGATAACCGGGGCGGCCTAATAACCGGGGGGGGGGGGAGGGGGGTGGGGGGGGGGCGCACCGCCGCTGCGTCCGCGGAATCTCCACCCCAAGGGTTGACGTCTTGATTGAGCGCTCGTTTACATAGCAGGCTGTGCGTGACGGTCCGCGGCACTTTGTTGACTGCAGCTGATTCTCGCGTTGACGGCACACGCGATGAATGCTGCTGGCCGAAGTTCGTCTGGAAGCCGGTAGCCGTGTGGGGTGGCGTGCACCGCTTGGGCCATGGTACAAGGAGTGAATCGGGGGCCCCCTGTCTAATCTCCCCTCTGTCTTCGTGGCCGCCCCGCACCTGGGCCCCTCCGGCCCATGGGATCCGGTGCTATCAACACCTCCGATTAGCACGGTTGGCTACGTATGGTGCGAAAGACGTTCGACATGTATACATGCATACGCTGCAGTCATGCTTGATAGTTACTCCGCTGCCCCGCGGGCTGATGGACCAATTATACTGAGAGCTCGAGGGTGAGAACTCTCCCAAGGGGATGACCACCATGGAGATGGAGCGATGACGCTGGAAAGGCAGCCGGAGTCGGCGCCAACATTTGCCCAGCTCCGTTGGCCGTGCTGCCATAACACGCTGGCCGTAAGCCAGCGAGCGTGTGATGGTGACCTCAACGCCCACAGGTAGCGATGGCGTTTGATGCTTCTGATAGATCCACTGACTTTCGCCTCCCAGAGTTGTAGATAACAGGGACACGTGTGAGGGTAGCCACCAGTGCCGGCGATTGGGATGGTGGTGTGGTTTGGTGTAGATGTCCGGAGGTGGTGATGTTACATGTGGTTTACCCTCCGTGCTCCCCCTGTCTTTTCCCGTGTGTGCTGGCAGTGAGCGAACGAGTGGCATCCGTGTGGAGCCATGAACAAGAGCTATTACGACATCTTGGGCGTAGCGCGCGGCGCCAGCCCCGATGAAATCAAGAAAGCGTAAGAGACGCATTGACAACACCGCACAGCCCCCATTCACATCACCACCACTTGTATCATAACCACCACCACCACCACACAGCCACCATTGACATCACTCAGCATCACCACCACCACACAGCCACCATTCACATCACTCAGCATCACCACCACCACACAGCCCCCATTCACATCACCACCACCACTTGTATCATAACCACCACCACCACACAGCCACCATTCACATCACTCAGCATCACCACCACAACGACACCGCCCCATTCACTTCACTCAAAATCACCAACCACCACCACACAGCCCCATTCAGATCACTCGGCATCACCACCACCACCACACTGCCCCATTCACATTACTCAGCATCATCACCACCACCACCACCACAAAGCCACCATTGACATCACTCAGCATCACCACCACACAGCCACCATTCACATCACTCGGCATCACCACCACCACCACACGGCCCCATTCACATCACTCGGCATCACCACCACCACACAGCCCCCATTCACATCACTCAGCGTCACCACCACCACACAGCCCCATTCACATTACTCAGCATCACCACCACCACAAAGCCACCAATGACATCACTCAGCATCACCACCACCACACAGCCCCCATTCACATCACTCGGCATCACCACCACCACACAGCTCCATTCACATCACTCAGCATCACCACCACCACACAGCCCCCATTCACATCACTCAGCGTCACCACCACCACACAGCCACCATTCACATCACTCAGCATCACCACCATACAATGTGGTGGGTGAGTTGGGCGAGGTGGGCGAAGTGGGTTTCGCCCCATCCTCGCCGAGAAGCAGGTTCGTGCCGTCGTCTCCTCGCGTGTAATTGGCGTCTTGCAGTGGCCGCTGTGTTCTGATTCCTCCACAGAGCCGTTAAGTCGGCTCCAGTGTGTGCGGGATGCGGCCGCCAGAGCTCCAAACTTACCACGCACATTACTAGCCCGCAGCTCGAGTAAATTTTCCGCCTGCCGATCAAGTTTTGGGTGGAGTTCAAGATCCTCCCTCCTCCTCCTCCTCCTAACCCACAAGGCCCCCAATGGTGCCGCTCCAATACACATTCGCGAACCTTCTTCATATTTGAGTTCCCGAGCCCTGCGGCCCTGTGATGCCGGCCGCCGCCGCTGTCGTGCGTGCCGAGATCCGCGAGACTTTTGGTTAGCCGAGCCTCTCCGCTCGTGTGCGCCTGCACCACTCGACACGTCCCTTCTCAAAGGCCTTTTCACTTCCTCCGAAGACGGCCTTGAGCTGTTGGGTTTTGTCTGGTGGGGTGTTCTCATCACGCCTGCCTTGTGTGGTTTTAATGAGGCGTTCACAGCGGGGTTTTATGAGCAAGTAATTTTAATTGCTGCTTTTAGTTCTGTACGGCACTTTGGAGGCTTCGCGATGAAAGGTGCTTTGCGAGTGTCGCGAGGTGTGAACCGCTATCCTCGTTGATGTATTTTCACGAAAATTGCCAAATCCTAAACCGATGTCTCGCCAACATTGGCACACAGCTCACCAGTGTGCCCAGGTGTTCATAGTTTTTGGAAGGATTTCCGCCAAAGTACGTCGACAATTTTTTGTTAATCGAAATAAAACGAAAGTAACGTTACGCTGCGACACGAGTACTATGCGCGCATGGGAGAACACTTACTCGCGCGTGCCCATTTTAATTTTATTAAAATATCTCACCGTTAAAATCCATCGTTTACCCCGCGGCATGTCGAGCGACGGACGCATCGCAGCCAGATGCGTAACGACGTGAGCACGCATGCACGCACACGCCTCTTTGTACAGTCAGATCTTCGAACGCAACAGATGCTCGCTTGATGCGCTCCCCTTGCCAGCTTTGGCATCGGTGCTCGTCAGATTCTCTTTGCACGCTCATATTCTGCCTCTGGCCGTTGCACGATGCCGGTGAGTGTGGGCGCTCGGCAGCTCCTCTCCCCGGCGCAGGTTTCCGCACGGCTCCGCCGATCGCTGCCGCCCAGGACGAGCGTCTGCCTCGCACTCTCTTCTGGCACGATGTTCTCACGATGTTCTCGCGATGTTCTCGCGACGTTCTCTCAAGGACCCGCTCGTTAAACGCCGAAAACACCTCTCACGTTTGTGAGCAACAACAACAACACGCACCCACCCACTCGCCACACTACAGGTCACAACAACAGAGACAAAGATCCCCCGTATAACCTTAACAGGCTGCTGGGGCAAGCGATGTTAGCGAGCACTTATGAAGGCAGACATAGTACACGACGGGGTGGGTGGCGAGCACAAGGCCAAGCGACCTTTGTCTCCCTAGTGGCGATGTTTACACACTGCACCATGTACTCATTTGAGGCTGAGTCGATCTAGGGGAGGCCCAGGACAGTTCAGATAATCGTCACTGGTGTTGGCCCTGAGCGGGAATCGAATTCGGGTGATCAGGTTTGCGGTGCACTAACCGCAACACTACCGCTCCCCACAACAAGACACTTACCCACCCACTTTCCACACTGCAGGTCACAACAACAACACACCCACCCACTCAATCACACTGCAGTTCACAACAACAACCCACCCACCCACCCACTCAATCACACTGCAGGTTACAACAACACACCCACCCACCCACTCACCACACTGCAGGTTACAACAACAACACACCCACCCACCCACTCGCCACACTGCAGGTCACAACAACAACCCACCCACCCACTCAATCACACTGCAGGTTACAACAACACACCCACCCACTCGCCACACTGCAGGTTACAACAACACACCCACCCACCCACTCGCCACACTGCAGGTTACAACAACACACCCACCCACCCACTCACCACACTGCAGGTCACAACAACAACACACCCACCCACTCAACCACACTGCAGATTACAACTACACACCCACCCACCCACTCAACCACACTGCAGGTTACAACAACACACCCACCCACCCACTCGCCACACTGCAGGTTACAACAACCCACCCACCCACTCAACCACACTGCAGTTCACAACAACAACACACCCACCCACTCAATCACACTGCAGTTCACAACAACAACACACACCCACCCATCCACTCTCCACACTGCAGTTCACAACAACAACACACCCACCCACTCGCCACACTGCAGGTCACAACAACAACCCACCCACTCAATCACACTGCAGGTCACAACAACAACACACACCCACCCACCCACCCACTCGCCACACTGCAGGTTACAACAACACACCTACCCACCCACTCAACCACACTGCAGGTCACAACAACAACACACACACCCATCCACTCGCCACATTGCAGTTCACAACAACAACACACCCACCCACTCGCCACACTGCAGGTTACAACAACAACACACCCACCCACTCAACCACACTGCAGTTCACAACAACAACCCACCCACCCATCCACTCGCCACACTGCAGGTCACACCAACAACACACCCACCCACTCAACCACACTGCAGTTCACAACAACAACACACCCACCCATCCACTCGCCACACTGCAGGTTACAACAACAACAACACACCCACCCACCCATCCACTCGCCACACTGCAGGTTACAACAACACACCCACCCACTCAACCACACTGCAGGTTACAACAACAACAACACACCCACCCACCCACTCGCCACACTGCAGGTTACAACAACACACCCACCCACTCAACCACACTGCAGGTTACAACAACAACAACACACCCACCCACCCACTCGCCACACTGCAGGTCACAACAACACACCCACTCGCCACACTGCAGGTTACAACAACAACCCACCCACCCATCCACTCGCCACACTGCAGGTTACAACAACAACACACCCACCCACTCGCCACACTGCAGGTTACAACAACAACACACCCACCCACTCAACCACACTGCAGGTTACAACAACAACAACAACACACCCACCCACTCAACCACACTGCAGGTTACAACAACACACCCACCCACTCAACCACACTGCAGGTTACAACAACACACCCACCCACTCGCCACACTGCAGGCCACCTCGCTTCTCTCTCTGCTTCTTCCCTCGCACTGCTCCACTCTGAAATTCCCTCCTCCTCCTCCCATCATCATCACCAGCGTCTCGTGCCCTTAAATGCGTTCACTCTGCATTTAGTACAACTCCGACAGTGCTGTTTGTTGCTGGCCACTTGACGTGTTGGGCCTTTGGGTCAGTGCTCGGAAACTGTGTTTAAAAAAAGAAAAGGAGCGGTGTTGGCTGTGGTTTGGCGTTCCCCCTCTCGTGTTTGTGTGGAACACTCGGGGACTCTCCCGAGGAGACCACTGTAGTTGGATAGTCAGTCACGCGCCGTTTAGATTTCGTGACGCGCCCAGTTTTTCCTTTCACTCTCAGAGACCGGGAGACAACAGCTTGGCGGCGCTGGCAAACACAGATGAGCATTGAGGGCGGCCACAACCGGCGGCAACAATTGCCCAAGCTCTGTGGTCCTATTTCGGGATGTTTGGCCAACTCCATTATTGGGCGCTCGTACACGCGGGAGGAAACCGGAGTGCCCGGAGAAAACGCCTGCGTGTGAGGGGACGGAGTAGTAACACTCAATCTCAGTACAGATGGGAACGGATCCCACTTGCTGTACTGACGCCATCATACCCTCTGGCCGTAAGCGACCTCGACGCCCGCCGGGTAGGGGGAGGGACTTTGGCCAAAGTGCGTGCGTGTGTGGTTCACCAACCCTCTCGCTGCTTGCACGGTGCCACACGCCTGGCCATATGCTGCGTAGCCGTCCATGCCCGGCTGAAGGCGACAACGCTCGCTGCTGCCCCACCCTCGCACTTCCCCTCCCCCCCCCCCCCCCCGTGGCTGCTTGCTTGTGTTTACCCGGAGAACCGTGGGGAATGCGTGTGGGAGGCCCCACAGCCTCTTGCACGGCTGACCACTCGGGGCAGTCTTCATACCAAAGCCAATCGCTCGTTTCCCCTCGCACGATTGCCCACTTTCTCTCTCGGCCACTCGTTCACCACTTTCACTCGCTCGCCTGCCCACTCGCCCACTCTTTTCCCACTCATTCGCTCACCCTCATTGCTCGCACTCACTAACTCCGCCAACGCGCTTACTACTCATTCAACGATCCACTCGCCCAGCTACCCTCTCATCCACCCATTCACTCACCCAAATGACCAACTCGCTCACCCACTCGCCCAACCTTACCCCACTCATTTACCTCGACTCATATCCCACTAACATACCCCCACTCACAAACTCAATCATTGACCATACCACCTATGCAGCCACTCGCTCACCAATTCACTCACCACACTGAGCGACTAACTCGCTCACCTACGTCAGAAGCTTTACTCTGGCATTACTTCTTCAGCAATACCTGGCTCTGCGGAGTTGCGCTGGCTCCTGACCGATCAGTTGCGTGACGGTCATCTACAGCTTTGCCTTCATCTTAACTTCAGAGGCATAGGCCTCCTCGTGTGTAATTTGTGCTACCCCGCCCGACAGCGGAAATGCCAGCGACGGACAGCACACGCGTGACTCGATGCGATGGGTTGGTGCGCGCGTGCGAGCCGGCCTTCGCTCGGTGGGCCGTCCCGTCGGCTCTCCGTGAGGGTGCCGGCGGGCCCCGCGTCGGGATCGGCGCGCTCTGACGCGGGGGAAGCCACCGTGACGACGGCAGGCGGAGTTCTGATGAACGCTCGCTCCCTCGCTGCCACCCTCGCTCGTGCTCACGCTCGCGCTGTCCGTCGGATTTTGTGTCGTGTGAATTTTCAGCTACCGCAAGCTCGCGCTGAAATGGCACCCGGACAAAAACCCGGAGAACAAGGAGAACGCCGAGAAGCAGTTCAAGGAGATCGCGGAGGCGTACGAGGTCCTCTCTGACGGTGAGCGCCCCGAATAACAACAACAATAATAATAACACGCAGCACGGGATCACAGCCAGTTTCGCACTTTGTTGTTGGCTTCTGTATGTACATACGTCTGTTTGGAGAACCTGTTTCGCACCGTGTGTTTGGAGAACCTGTTTCGCACCGTACGTTTGCAGAACCTGTTTTGCACCGTACGTTTGGAGAACCTGCTTCACACCGTATGTTTGGAGAACCTGTTTCACACCGTATGTTTGCAGAACCTGTTTCACACCGTATGTTTGCAGAACCTGTTAAGCACCGTATGTTTGGAGAACCTGTTAAGCACCGTATGTAGCCAACCTGGCGGAACAGTCCTGCGGCGCTATCCGTGTCGATAAATCAGAATGACTTCCTGGTTTTTATTCTGGCTTTCTGGGCCTTGTCCTGAAGATGCTGCTAGCGAAACATCGTGTTTGTTCAATCTTGTTGTGAGAATCGCACCCGAACCCATGGTGAGGGATCCAAAACAATTTTATATAACAATTTAATCATGTTAATCATGTTTGTCTATGTCGGTTGGTGGAACGTTCTTACGATGCACATTTGGCCAGGTCGTTTCAGTTTTCAGTTTCAAGTTTATTTATTTTGGTATAGCCCTGTGAGCCATTCGGCTCTTGAATCGGGTGCAACCACAACAAACAAAAACACAAAAACACGAACAAGAAAAACATCTTAAAGTGACTATGTGACTGTCCAAACAGAAACTCCATGAAAAAATCAGCAAAATATTCCTGAAAAAAGCGCCGTACACCAACGCTGTGTGCAAAAAATCCCAGTGGGATGCAAGTCAAACAACAACCACAAGAAAACTTAGATTAAGGTCATCAGTCTAACTCCGTACTACAACAAAACAAACATGTCCAAACCAAAAAACGTTTTTGAAATCACCCAAAAAATAAAGCCATAATTGCAACATAACAGTGATCACAGTGAATGTGACCGAATTTTTACAATAAACTACATAAATAACATGTAACACCAAATCCTAGAGCCATAGCTGGCTGCATGAGTTACTCCACAACAACAGAAGCATCAGTCGGAATATCAAATTTTTCAATGCACCTTTAAGATCAGCACGCTAAATCAAAATACAGATAATACTTTGCAGCGTCATCCGGAGCGAAACATTTTATTTTATTTTACGCCAATGAATAGCAGTGGCAGCTAGGTGTGTACAACTCCTCTAGAGCAGTTTTAAGAGACGATCTCATTGGTAGCGATTCAAGTTGCAGTTTATTGGCAATAGCATTCCAGACCCTGGGGGCATCAATAGCAAAGGCCCTTCCTCCAGTTTTTGTATGGCAATAGGGAATGTGAAGCTGGTAAATGAGCGAAGACCTGAGGTCAAATTTGTTCTTTGAAACAGAGAGGAGATCCAGCAGGTAGTCTGCGGATTTTTTTGTAAGTACATCGTTAATAAATAAGATCTGGTGCACAAGCCGTCGAACATTAAGAGATGTTAAGTTTGACCCAATGTAGAGATCAGAGTGGTGAGTCCTATATGGGCAGTTCAATGTAAATCTTAAGGCCGAGTGATAGATGGAATCAAGCTTCTTCAGTACAGTACTTGGGGCTGATTTATACACGATGTCACAGTAGTCAAGTAGAGGCAGTATGGTAGCTCTTATCAATTCCAAACAGAACATTGGGGGGAAGCAGTGCTTGTGTCGATACAGAAAACCAATTTTTATTTTTGTCTCTTTACCAATATAATCAATGTGATCTTCAAAATTCAGTTTTGAATCCAGGATGACCCCAAGATACTTATAGATCTTGACTTGCTCTATTTGATAATTATTTAAGGAATGTAATTGGGGAAAAATAACTTCCTGCTTTAGCCCTGGTGAGAAGCATAGCACCTTGAATTTGGAGGTATTCAGGACTAGTTTAAGAGCAACTAGCTGATGTTGTAGTTTGTTGAAATCACCCTGTAGCTTAGCATTCACGTCATCCGGAGAGCGGCCAGCAGTAATCAGTATCGTGTCATCTGCAAAAAGATTTACCCTGGAATGATCCAGGTCAGTGCCCAAGTCATTGACATAAAGAGAGAACAAAAGGGGGCTGAGGATGGAACCCTGTGGGGAATCCCTTTTGTTATCTTAACACTGTTTGACCTCCAACCATCTGTGAATACAGTTTGTGTGCGAGAAAAGAGGTAATTTTATGACCATTTTACTGCGTTTTCGGAAAAACCGAGGCAACTTAGTTTACTAAGCAGCGTGTTGTGGTCTACTGTATCAAAAGCTTTGGACAGGTCTAGAAAAAGACAGGCACAGTACTCTTTATCTATCAAGGCTACTGTAAATGTGATTCAGAGAGTCTAATGCAGCAGATGTGGTGCTGCATTTTCTTCAGAACCCAGGTTGTTTTAGATGTTAGTAGATTGTTGGTGGACAGGAAACTGCTAATTTTGGTAGGTCAATAATTTTTCAAAAATTTTCATCAACGGGGACAAAATTGAGACGGGTCGTTACACGTGGCCTCGCCCAAAAAGCGCTTTACGAACCGTGGATTACTCCTGGTCACTCGCTGGGGGAAGCCTCCGTGAGTGACCAGAGGGAAGCCTCCGTGAGTCTGAAGGGGAGGACCCCTGTCGGCTGCACCCGAGCCACTGTGGGTTTACCATGGGCCTCTCGCACTGCGTTTAGAGCGGACGCTGGCACTCGCCGCGAGCGCCCGTCCCCTCCCACGCTCACGTTGAGCCCGACTCGCACCCTTCACATTCATCCGGCCCCCTGCACCTGAAATGCCACGAGGTTTTCGTTCACGCATCCCACCGGGCCTACACGGCGCCTTCTGCCAGTTGAATTTGTTCGGCGGTGGTGGCGGAGGTTTTTAAGTGCAAGCGAAACGGTGGCCCGCCGATTCAGATGTTCGTTGTTTCTCGTTGGGGGGCGGTGACGCGGCCCCCAGCGGCGGCGCGTGGGCCGCATGTTGCGGAGCTTCGCGGCTCCAACCCAGCGGCCGCCCTGGTTAATTCTGTGAGCGTAGGAAACCGTGTTAGTCGTAGTAATAGCAACGACACTGTGCGCCCTCTGCTTTTTCGCAGTGGACGTTAAAGATCCTTTGACGTCATTCGCAAGAGCAGGCCTTCGCCTGTCCTTGTGTTACTGTCCAAAATTTTTTTTAAAACAACACCGCGGAATTGCTCGGTTGCCACCTACATTGGCAATCATCGCCCCTTACTGCGGGACAGCTGGCGATAACCCTCCTGTAGCTTTGAGACTCGGTGAGCGAGGCTGTGCTAGGGAAGCGATCGTGAGCGTGAGCGATGCTGCGATGATGTGGGGTCGTGGCCGATGCTGACCGCGGTGGCGTCCCTGTGGTGTTGCAGAGAGCAAGAGGGAGACGTACGACCGCTACGGCAAGGCAGGGCTCACGGCCAGACTCGGTGAGCAGCCACAGCCGCCCTCTACGGACCAACGCTCGCCACACCACCGCACTCGCCACGCACCGCACTCGTCTACACACTCACCACACACCACACTCACCTACACACTCACCACACACCGCACTCGCCACGCACCGCACTCACCTACACACTCGCCACACACTGCACTCACCTACACACTCACCACACACCGCACTCACCACGCACCGCACTCGTCTACACACTCACCACACACCACACTCACCTACACACTCACCACACACCGCACTCGTCTACACACTCACCATACACCACTCACGTACACACTCACCACACACCGCACTCACCAACACACTCACCACACACCACACTCACCTACACACTCACCACACACCGCACTCGTCTACACACTCACCATACACCACTCACGTACACACTCACCACACACCGCACTCACCACGCACCGCACTCACCTACACACTCACCACACACCGCACTCACCAACACACACACCACACTCACCTACACTCTCACCACACACCGCACTCGGCTACACACTCACCATACACCACTCACCTACACACTCACCACACACCGCACTCACCACACACTGAACTCACCTACACACTCACCACACACCTCACTCGGCTAAACACTCGCCACACACCGCACTCACCTATACACTCACCACACACTGCACTCACCTACACACTCACCACGCACCGCACTCGTCTACACACTCACCACACACCACACTCACCTACACACTCACCACACACCGCACTCACCAACACACACACCACACTCACCTACACTCTCACCACACACCGCACTCACCACGCACCGCACTCGTCTACACACTCACCACACACCGCACTCAGCTACACACTCGCCACACACTGCACTCACCTACACACTCACCACACACCGCACTCGGCTACACACTCGCCACACACCTCACTCACCTACACACTCACCACACACCTCACTCGGCTACACACTCGCCACACACCGCACTCACCTATACACTCACCACACACTGCACTCACCTACACACTCACCACACACCGCACTCACGTACACACTCACCACACACCACTCACGTACACACTCACCACACCACACTCATGTACACACTCACCACACACCGCACACGTACACACTCGCCACACACCACACTCATGTACACACTCACCACACACCGCACACGTACACACTCACCACACACCACACTCATGTACACACTCACCACACACCACTCACGTACACACTTACCACACACCGCACTCATGTACACACTCATCACACACCGCACTCATGTACACACCACACACCACACTCGGCTACACACTCACCACACACCGCACTCGGCTACACACTCACCACACACCACTCACGTACACACTCACCACACACCACACTCCTGTCACGCACAACCCTTCAGTATAAATAAACATTCTGATTCACTCATTGACCGCGTCTGCGACGCCAATACCACCCCCCACTGTGATGGCGCGACCCTGGCTCAGGAGAGGTGGAAGTGATTTGTGATTGGATCCTGCTGATGATGCTGACAATACTGATGACGATGCTGACGATGCCCGTGTGTGTGTGCGCGCAGGGGGCGGTGGGTCAGCCAGCCCCAACATGGGCGGATTCCACTTCACGTTCCGAAACCCGGATGACGTCTTCCGAGAGTTCTTCGGCGGCCGCGATCCCTTCGCCGAATTCTACGGTGAGCGGCGCGCCCCGGCGCGGTGCGGCCGAAGCGTCGGCCGTGGGGGTCGCCCCCGGCCTGGCACGGCACTCCACACGGCGGCTAGATGGCCATCGCCATCATGCGCTGGCCAGCAGGGACGTGGGGGGCCCGCTGGGACGTGGGGGGGCCTCTGGAACGTGCGGGGTCTGCGGGGAGGCGGGGGGACGGGTGGACGCGGGGGACGCAGGAGCCAGCGGGCACGCGGGGAGCCGCGGGGGGGCGGCGAGGGGCGCTCGGTTTTATCGGCGCTCGGTTTTATCGGCGCTCGGCGACCGTTGTTGGTCTCGCCGAAAGAGCGATGCGTTCGCGCTGCCGTGGCGGTGTTTGTAAACGACGACAGACTGAGCGCGAGCGTGAAACGTGGCGCTCAACTCCCAAACGCTGCCGCTGCCGTGGTGGCTCCGGGCCTCCTCCGTCACGATTATACGCCGCTCTGCGTAGAGACGCACGGTGTTGAGTTGCGTGGCAGGAGTTTGAAGCGGCCGTTTAGATTGGGCCTGCGAGGCAGTGCACCGCGGGAACTTTAATAATAATAATAATTGTACGTCTCGGGATGTAATCGTGCCTGGGGCCGCTGTACTAGCGAGGCGTGGGTGGGGGGTAGCAGAAGGTGGCATTGATCAGGAGGTCTTCGTGAGAAACATGGAGCCTGTTGATTGGGCGCCACGGTTGGGACATGTTAACTCCATAGCCAGGTATACAGGAGCTTGTGGGTTCTATCCTGACGCCTGCTGTATATTTGGAATTTGCGTCTCCTCTCTCCCTGTGATTATGTAAATTTTTCTCCAGGGCCTCCGGTTTTTCCCTCCACATTTGAAAAATAGTCTCGTTCATAGTTTGATGAGGTGACGAGGGTGGTGGAGCACAGTGCGGATCAGAAGCCCGCGACGGTGAAAGCTAATCCGCTGACTGACGTCGCTTGTAGCCCGAGAAGAGGAAGGGGATGGCATCTCAGCTCTGATTAAATCTCCCGCTGTGACGCTCTCCCCGCGCTCCCTCTCCCTCTCCCCCTTCATCCCCTCCTCGCGTCGGCGCATGCCCCCCCCCACCCCCACAGAAGACTTCCACGACGCTCCGCGCTTGCGGGGACAGGAGCGCAGCCGCAGCCACGGATTCTTCTCCTTTCCCTCGTTCGGAGCCTTCCACACCACCTCCTCCACCTCCTTCGACTCCGGTGAGCGCGCCCAGCCACCCGCTCACCCCTCGCTCACCCCTGCACGCCACTCGCTCACCCGCACGCCACTCGCTCACCCGCACGCCACTCGCTCACCCACTCATCTGCAATCCACTCACTCACACAACAACATGATCAACACCAATAACCGCCATTCACCACTAAGTGGGGGTGATGTCACGACGGCGCTTGTGCCATGCTCGCTGCACTTTGAGGTCACCTAATGTGTCCAAGGCCCACTGGAAGGAGGTCGAAGACCCAGACGCGGGTGCCACGGGTCGACTGACTGAGATGACTGGCTGTTAAACCACCTGTCCTCCCCACTGTGCCAACTTGCTGCTTTTTAGCCGCCCGGCACTCCGCTCGTTGTTGAGAGCGTTGCTCCTGTGCCCTACGCTGTTGATGGAGGGCGACTGCCTCCATCTGCCCAGTAGCATCCTTGACGAGCCTCTTCCATAGAGGTACCAGTCATCGGCAAGTCCAGTTAGCTCCACATCCCCGTGTCCTGCATAAGTACATCTCTTCTCTAGTCCGTGCCGTGCCCATTTAGCCCCCTCTATCCAGCCCAACAGAAGCTGTTTAGGCATTCGGCGACTGGGCATGCGGGCCACATGACCCAGCCAATACAGTATCGCCTGCGAGAGGAGCTCACCAATGGAAATATATTCAGATCTCAAGCATCTATGAGCTCCTCACACAATTCAGTCTGGTTAAACCCAGGATGGATCATAGGCATGCCATCCTGAATGTTTCACACTGGGACAGATCTGTTGCCTCTGAGAGGTCCACATTTCGCAGGCACAGAGAAGGGAGCGCATAACTCTGGCCGAAAAGACCCAGAGGTTCGTGTGGACTGACAGACCAGGTAGCTTCTAACACCGCGTTATGTAGCTGATAAAAATATCCTGGCTTTCCACTGATTTGGAATGAAACTTCTGCTGCCAAACCGGAGCAGGTCATAAGCACACTACCCAGGTACAAAAACGTCTACGCTCTCTCCACAGCCTCCGACTTGGTTGCCGCGGTGGTGAGATGTTATCTCCCTCACCTGGTATGCAGGAGGTCGTGGATTCGATCCTGTATATTTGGGGTTTGGATGTTCTCCCCATGGCCACGTGGATTTTTATCCGGGTCCTCCAGCTTTTCCCTCCACTTTTAGAAGCATTCATTTTGAGTATTTGTCTGCTATAAATTTCCACATGATAAGCCAGTTAGCACTCTCATTTGTAGCCAGGTAGCTTCTGAAAAAAATATGATAGCTCGGTGGGCTTTACCTGGTAAATAAAATAGTTTTAGTAACTGCCCCATCATTCGTGGGGAGTTGAGGGGGTGGAGCATTTGGCGCAAAAAAAAACCAGGCAGGTTCAGCAGCAGAGCCTCCAACTCCTCAGATTGAGGAACAATTACCCGTCATCGGCTTGCGTAACATGGTTGACCAATCGGGATCCGTCCCTTGACCTCAACCCGGGCATCAAACAGTCTCCCATTGTATCTGTACCAGATAGGAATTCCTCTAGTACACCCATGGACAGTTTCTAGAACTATGTGATTGAAGAATACGTAAAATAATGTGGGAGCCAGGAGATATCCCTGTTGCACCTCAAGGTGAACGTGGAATGGCTCCGACTCCCGGCCACACAACTTTATCTGGGCCTGCCCACCATCATGATGAAGGTCCTTAATTATTGTGAGCAGTGTCAGGGACCCCAAAAGCATAAAGAACAACCCAGAACCCTGGCCTATTGAAGGTACCATTGGCCTTGTTTCGCAGTTTCCTGCCCCGAGTGGAAGACTGTCCACTCCTTAAGTTGACCGGAGCCAGAACCAGTCCACCAGACATCCCGAATTCCATCAGAGTTCCAGGCAGTACCGGTCCATCTCCCGATAGAGGAATGGCATCCCATCCTCTGCAGCAAGCGTTCAGACATTCCACGTGGCCAACCGCAGTGGTTTCCTGTTCCTGGAGGAACCCCAAGTTGGGGGGGTGGGGGGGTGGAGGGGGGTTCAGTCTGGCTCAGCCATGGACGCCTGTTCCCCTGGGGCCCCCAGCAAAGCTGAATTGGGTGTTTCCACCATGATGTTTGGTAGGAAGTGCCAGGTGCAGTGGTTACCAGCACCTCGCACACCACACTAATTTAACTGCAAAGACAAAGATCCCCCTTATAGCCCAAACAGACTTTTGAGGCAAGTGCTGTTAGTGAGCACCTACGAAGGCCAGTGAGGCAGACGAGGGGGTGGGTGGACAACACCAAACCCGGCTGCCTTTGTCTCCCTCTTGATGTTTACACATCGCAACAGGTACTTATTTAAGGCTGAGTCGACGCCACTCACTCGCTCATCTGCATGCCGCTCTCTCACCCGCTCAACCACACACCACTCGATTACTCCCTCACCCGCACACCACTCACCCACACGTACTGTGCGTGTGTGTGCCGTGTGTGTAGGCACCATGTATATACTGTGCGTGCGTGTGTGCTGTATGTGTGTGCTGTGTGTGTATTGTATATGTGCTGTGTATATGTACTGTGTAGGCGCTATGTGTGTATATGCTGTGTGCTGTATGTGTATATACTGTGCGTGTGTGTGCTGTATGTGTGTGCTGTGCGTGTAGGCACCTTGTGGGCAACGTGTATGTAGTGTGTGTGCTGTGGTCATACTGTGTGTGCTGTGTAAGCACTGTGTACTGTGTGTATGTACTGTACGTGTGTGTGTGCTGTGTGTAGGCATCATGTATGTGCTGTGTGTGTATTGTATATGTGCTGTGTACAGTGAGGGAAAAAAGTATTTGATCCCCTGCTGATTTTGTACGTTAGCCCACTGACAAAGAAATTATCAGTCTATAATTTTATGGTAGGTTTATTTGAACAGTGAGAGACAGAATAACAACAAGAAAATCTAGAAAAACGCATGTCAAAAATGTTATAAATTGATTTGCATTTTATTGAGGGAAATAAGTATTTGACCCCCTCTCAATCAGAGATTTCTGGCTCCCAGGTGTCTTTTATACAGGTACGAGCTGAGATTAGGAGCACACTCTTAAAGGGAGTGCTCCTAATCTCAACTTGTTACATGTATAAAAGACACCTGTCCACAGAAGCAATCAATCAATCAATCAGATTCCAAACTCTCCACCATGGCCAAGACCAAAGAGCTCTCCAAGGATGTCAGGGACAAGATTGTAGACCTACACAAGGCTGGAATGGGCTTACAAGACCATTGCCAAGCAGCTGGGTGAGAAGGTGACAACAGTTGGTGCGATTATTCGCAAATGGAAGAAACACAAAAGAACTGTCAGTCTCCCTCGGCCTGGGGCTCCATGCAAGATCTCACCTCGTGGAGTTGCAATGATCATGAGAACGGTGAGGAATCAGCCCAGAACTACACGGGAGGATCTTGTCAATGATCTCAAGGCAGCTGGGATCATAGTCACCAAGAAAACAATTGGTAACACACTACGCCGTGAAGGACTGAAATCCTGCAGCACCCGCAAGGTCCCCCTGCTCAAGAAAGCACATATACATGCCCGTCTGAAGTTTGCCAATGAACATCTGAATGATTCAGAGGACAACTGGGTGAAAGTGTTGTGGTCAGATGAGACCAAAATGGAGCTCTTTGGCATCAACTCAACTTGCCGTATTTGGAGGAGGAATGCTGCTTATGACCCCAAGAACACCATCCCCACCTTCAAACATGGAGGTGGAAACATTATGCTTTGGGGGTGTTTTTCTGCTAAGGGGACAGGACAACTTCACCACATCAAAGGGACGATGGACGGGGCCATGTACCGTCAAATCTTGGGTGAGAACCTCCTTCCCTCAGCCAGGGTATTGAAAATGGGTCATGGATGGGTATTCCAGCATGACAATGACCCAAAACACACGGCCAAGGCAACAAAGGAGTGGCTCAAGAAGAAGCACATTAAGGTCCTGGAGTGGCCTAGCCAGTCTCCAGACCTTAATCCCATAGAAAATCTATGGAGGGAGCTGAAGGTTCGAGTTGCCAAACGTCAGCCTCGAAACCTTAATGACTTGGAGAAGGTCTGCAAAGAGGAGTGGGGCAAAATCCCTCCTGAGATGTGTGCAAACCTGGTGGCCAACTACAAGAAACGTCAGACCTCTGTGATTGCCCACAAAGGGTTTTGCCACCAGGTACTAAGTCATGTTTTGCAGAGGGGTCAAATACTTATTTCCCTCATTAAAATGCAAATCAATTTATAGCAATTTTGACATGCGTTTTTCTGGATTTTTTTTGTTCTTATTCTGTCTCTCACTGCAAATAATCCTACCATTAAAATTATAGACTGATCATTTCTTTGTCAGTGGGCAAACGTACAAAATCAGCAGGGGATCAAATACTTTTTTCCCTCACTGTATATCTACCGTGCATGTACAGTGTAGGCGCTATGTGTGTGTGTATATGCTGTGTGCTGTGTGTGTGTATTGTATATGTGCTGTGTATATGTACCGTGAATGTACTGTGTAGGCGCTATGTGTGTATATGCTGTGTGCTGTGTGTGTGCTGTGTGTGTATTGTATATGTGCTGTGTATATGTACTGTGAATGTACAGTGTAGGCGCTATGTGTGTATATGCTATGTGCTGTATGTACTGTGTGTATTGTATATGTGCTGTGTATATGTACCGTGAATGTACTGTGTAGGTGCTGTGTGTGTATATGCTGTGTGCTGTATGTACTGTGTGTGTGTGTGCTGTGTATATGTATCGTGAATGTACTGTGTAGGCACTATGTGTGTATATGCTGTGTGCTGTGTATGTACTGTGTGTGTGTGCTGTGTATGTACTGTGTGTGTGTGCTGTATGTACTGTGTGTGTGTGTGTGCTGTATGTACTGTGTGTGCGTGTGCTGTATGTACTGTGTGTGCGTGTGCTGTATGTACTGTACTGTGCGTGTGCTGTATGTACTGTACTGTGCGTGTGCTGTATGTACTGTACTGTGTGTGTGCTGTATGTACTGTACTGTGGGTGTGCTGTATGTACTGTACTGTGTGTGTGTGCTGTATGTACTGTGTGTGTGTGTGCTGTATGTACTATACTGTGTGTGTGTGTGCTGTATGTACTATACTGTGTGTGTGTGTGCTGTATGTACTATACTGTGTGTGTGTGTGCTGTATGTACTGTACTGTGTGTGTGTGCTGTATGTACTGTACTGTGTGTGTGTGCTGTATGTACTGTGTGTGTGCTGTATGTACTGTAGTGTGTGTGTGCTGTATGTACTGTACTGTATGTGTGCTGTATGTACTGTACTGTGTGTGCTGTATGTACTGTACTGTGTGTGTGCTGTATGTACTGTACTGTGTGTGTGCTGTATGTACTATACTGTGTGTGTGTGCTGCGCGTTTCCCGCAGGCTTCAGTGGGTTTGGCTCGTTTGGCGGGGCGGCGCTGGGTGACGAGTATTCTCCGTTCCCGTCGTTCTCGGGCGCCCAGCGGCCCCAGCCGGCGGGCTCCTTCCGCTCCGTGTCCACGTCCACGCGCTTCATCAACGGCCATAAGATCACCACCCGCAAGTACGCCACCATCGCCACGTCCTGTCACAACATCGTCATCACACCTCGTCATAGCATCGTCATAACGTCATCACCACGCGCAAGAGCCCCTCGCCGCCATCGCTGCGTCCCGTCACAACATCGTCATGGCAACATCATCACAACATCATCACCCCACCCGCAAGGATGCCAAGCCGCCGCCATCACCACGCCATCACCAACGTATTCATCACGACATCATCACGACATCATCACTACATCATCACGACATCATCACGACATCATCACTACATCATCACTACATCATCACTACATCATCGCAGCATCATCACCACCCGCAAGTACGCTACGCCGCCACCATCACCACGTCACAGCATCTTATGACATAATGACATCATAATGCCATCACAACATCATCATAACATCATACCAACGTCATCATCACCACCTGCAGCTACGCCACACCACCACAGCATCATCATCACAACTTCATCACTCCGTCGCCATCACATTCGGACATTTTCACAACATCCCCACCATCTGCAAGCACGCCACACCATTATCACAACGTGACAACTTAATGACCACCTGTTGTAAGCATGCCACATCGCCATCATCACAACGTCATAACATGACCACCCTCTCAAGTATGCTGCACTACCGACATGGGCTCAACATCGCATCATCAAAACACCATCACCACACCTCCCGCAAGTATGCCAAGTCACCATCACACTCAAGACACACATCACCATCACATGAACGTCGCAGCATCATCATCTGCAAGTATAGAACATTCATAATATAATTGTCATGATCACATCATGCAGCACCATCGCAACATCACAGCCATCGCACCACCACGTAACCCGCAAGTAAGAAACATCACTGACATCACCATCACAAGCTTCACGCCATCATGATTATCACATGACACCGACCTGCAACATCACACCATCGCAATGCTGTCAAGACACCCCATCACAACGTCACCCCATCATCATACCACACCACTGGCAAGGATCATCATCATCGTCATCACGATATGCGTCCAAGTTGCCGCGCGTCCTCGTTTTCCCTGTCTCCTGCGTTCCCGTGTCTGGGTAACCATGAGCCCCCCCCCCCACCCCCACCTGGTTAACCTCCCCCCCCCCTCCGCGTGCGGCTACGGTGGCGCAGGATCGTGGAGAACGGGCAGGAGCGCATCGAAGTGGAGGAGGATGGACAAATCAAGTCCATTAAAGTGGACGGTAAGGAGCAGATGGCCAAGCTCACGTACTAGAGGGCCCGCCTGCAGCAGCAGCAGCAGCAGCACGGCAGCACACAGCGCCCGGCCTCCTCCAGGGGCCGCCGAGGGCATAGGGGCTACGCTCGGGCTAGGGAGCACATCCGAGGTTGGGGTTGGGGGGGGGGGATGGGGTGGGGTGGGGTGGGGGGTGGCGGGAGCAGGGGTACGGTACAGATGACTGTGATGGGGGGCTGGGCTGTGCGAGCACCGCGACCCTGAGCCACGCGTGGCCGCCCTCGCACACTCGCAACACTCGCAACACTCGCACACACGCTCGCACACTCGCACGCTCGCATGCACTCGCACGCACACTCGCATGCACTCGCACACACTCGCACACACTCGCACACACTCGCACACACTCGCACACACTCGCACACATTCCTTCTCCGTTTTGTCCTCCTGGCGCCGCTCCTCCCTGGTTGGCGGCGCCAGCTCCGTGTTTTATTTTCACCGTGGTGGCGGTGTCGGTGGAACCACGCGCAGACGCTGCCCCCGCCCCCACCCCGCACCCCCCGGGTCTGGTGGCGGAGCGGCACGCGCGTTGGAATACGGAAGGCAATTCGGTACAAAAAAAAAACCTAAATAATAAAACCCAAAAACATTTTGTATTTCTCTCGTTACAAGCGTCGGCTAACACTCGGCGTGCGGTTAATCTTCCAAAACCGTGAAAGTTATTACCCGAGGGCAATAATCTCGTGCATTCCCCTCGTACGGGTGCGCGACGCGGCCCGTGTCCTCGCCGTTATTATTTATGCAGAATTTTCGTGTGCACGGGTGTGCAGCTGTGAAACTAACTGTCATTTTTTTAAGTGGCGCCACCATTTTTTTGTTTTGTTTTGTATTGCGTGAGGTCACTTTAATAAACACCCTTCCACGTTTGCGAGTGCATTTATTGTTTAAATTGTTTCACCTCCATTATTAACACCGCCACTCACGCTTGCCACCCCTCCACCGCCGCCGCCGCCGCCGCGCTCGCAACGCTCGCCCGCGCGTGGTGAGCGTAGCGGCCGCCAGGGCGCCAGCGAGGCGCCCGTGGCCTTGCCCGCGGTCGCAAGCGTCACGCCGTCGACAACCGAGAGGGGTCGCCCCGGCCCAGCCGCACGGCGGCCGGTCGTAGACAGACGGCAAGCCCCGAAGACGGTCGATCTTGGGTTAAACCGGCACCTGGTCCATCGTAAACGCTGCCATAGAAGGACGGCCAACGACCCCAGCCGAGGTGGCTGACCCGTGACGGCGACGGCACCGGAAGCAATTGTCGGCCCACGAGAGAGCTCGCTGTGGAATACCGAGCCGTCAAGATCGCTGACCATCACTGAAAACAGCAGCGTTAACTAAAAGTAGCGGTCCCTAAAAATAGCCGTCACTAAAAGTAGTTGTGACCTAAAGGCAGCAATTGTTAACCGTAGCCAAAGGTGGAGGGCCAAAGTAGCGGTCGTCGCCGAGTGCGTGGGCCCTGTAGAGTCGCTCCGTGCGGCCCCGTGGGGGGAGGGGGGGGGAGCGCTGCATCGCACTGGGGCCTCCCCATCCCGTGTGGCCTCCCCATCCCGTGTGGCCTGACCCCCCCCCACCCCGTGTGCCGTGCCTCCCACCCTCACCTCAACCCTTGCAACCCCCCCAACCCCAATTCTAACCCACACCGCACCTCCCACGTAACCCGAATGCTAACTGCAACCCTAAACCCAACCCTGACCTCGACCCTTGCCCTGCTGCTACAAACCGCAACCCAACCCCCCCCCGCGAATTCGGCTGGCGCATGGGACGGTCCGTACACTGGGAGAACGATTTGCTAAAGGCAAGGGCACGTCCACACTTCGGGGTTCGACTATTCTGTTGCCCTCGGTGACCTTGGTGGACAACTTCTCGGTTTGCAAACGTCACCCTTTCAAAAACATCACTCGTTCGTGTCTTGTGTTTTTATTTTCACCGATGCTGTGCGCTCGTATTGTCTTTTTTGACCATAAATATTGCTCCTCCACCCGACGTTTTCATCACCATCCTCATCGCCATCCTCATCGCCACCACCTTGGCACCTTCGTGAATGCATTGACGATGCGTTTGTGAGCAACGTTCACTGAAAACGCGAAATCTGCTCCAGCAAAGCTATCAGAGGCCAGTCTGCCAGTCTTACTGGCTAGAGACCCCACCAGAGACCAATCCGTCAATTTATTCCTATCTAGAGACCCATCAAAGACCAGTCTGCCAGTCTTTTACTGGCTAAGATTGATGGTGTTGCTGCAGTCGTTTTGAAGGACCCGGTGTGCTTGTGGTTTTTGTGCTGCTGCTGCTGCTGTGTGCCCTGGGTCCTCAGGTGGGTACAGCGTGGCAGGCTGCGCGCGCGTGGGCCCCCGTGTGTGGCGCTAGCAGGGAAGCCGCGACTCCTACACCCGCTCCCCCCACACCCTCGCACGCATGGCTGGCCCTCGTCAAACAAACCCGCCTACTTGGCGTTCGTGGTTATGATGTTTTGGGGGCGAGGCCACGTTATTGATTCTGGCCGAGTCTGTGTCGTAAGACCGTCCACCGTCTGACGTAGCCAAGCAAATTGAATTGTCACGTGTGCAAGCGTTGTCGGGACAAGCCAATTGTTTTCGGCTCGCTCGCCGTGGGTCTAGAGTCGAAAAAACAACTCTGGAGGGCAGATTTAGCAGCGGTAAGAACCCCGACCTTTCGCTGGAAACTGCCAAAGCCCTCTTCAGGCCTAAGGTCCAGGAACACGGAAAAGACTCCAAGACAAAACGGTTTCAGCCAGTCCGCTTATGTTTTTTTTATTTGTAGCAAATTCATCGGGCGTCGTCATTTCAGCAAAAAATTGCAAGCCGCAGTTGGATGGCGGTTAAGTCGCAGCCTCGTGGCACAGTGCACTTTGCAGACCGGCAGTTTTGGCTGCGATGCTGGCGAGATTTGGGGTCATTCAGTATTGGTCAATCAGATCCTCGCACCAATTATTTTTTTAAAATTAGGGTTGGGGTGAAACTTGGATTCGACCATCACGCCCGCTTTAGTCTCGGCGTGGTCGTCCCTGACCCGGGTAGCTGCGTGCGCTTGCTGGGGGGGCACGGCGAGGGGTCGTGACCCCACCGTGAAGGGTGTCCCGTCTAACGCGATTCACGGGGAGCGTGCGTGTCAGCGGTGAGCTAGGGACGGTGTCTTCAGGTCTCGCTGAGACGGCTTCTGCGTCATCGGAAAGCACAGTGGTCGCTCTGGAAGAGAGAGAGAGGGAATGATTCGGAGGCCGCGAATGCCGCGCTTTGCATGTATGTACGTTGAACTGCTTTTGCACCGTACGTAGCTAAACCGTGAATATCGGAGGTGCGAGGGAAGGCAAAAACTAAACGCAAAGCAGTTCTAAAGAACATGAGTTTGTTAATCTAGATTATTTGAAATTGCATAGCTCCAATGGCTTCCTAATATCAGAAAGCAGAGCGTTCCAGACCGCCGGAGAAGCGCATCTGAAAGCGCACGATGCAGTGGCCTGCTGTGTTCAATGGTTTACCAAAAGCCACAGCGAGGATGACCTTGAGTTTGCGTGATGATTTCTGTTCCTTGAGATCAGCAAGTTGTTGTGGTTCATTTGTGGCACTCGCTTTGTGTGCAGTGAGCGTGACCTCGGTGTATGCGTTGGGTAACCGGAAGGTTCGATTCCCGACTCGGGCACCTCTGTGTGCTGTCCGCGTTCTGCCCCTGTTCTGCGTGGGTTTCTTTAAAGTTCTGCAGTTTACTCCCATAGCTATTGGCCACAACATGCGAATGCTGAACATTGACCTGCAAATTAGCCAGTTGGGATCGTCAACCCCCCTCCCTACTCCGAAAAAAAACCTGTCAGATCCCTCCTGAAAACGAGCCTGCAGGCTGGGCGAGGGCTTCCCCCCCCGGGTGAACGAGCAGAGGAGAAGACATTGTAGCAGCAGGCCACGTGGCACCGGTTGGCTGGCGTACCCGAGTCGTCGTTGTCGTCGGTACCAAGGTCACGTGTTGATTGATGGCCGACTCGGCCTCGGAATCTGTTTATTTCCTGGAGGAGAAACCTGATGAAGCTCTTTTTCACCAGCGACACGGGGGGAGGCGGGGGGGGGGGGGCAATTAAGGGGCAAGACAGCGAAAAGGTCGCTATAAATGACTACAACGAAATAAAGTACAGACGTACAAATGGCACAAGTACAAACATTCCTGCCCATTTGTCAACACCAAATGCAAGCTTGGGGCTAGGCAGCAAAACAACAACAGCAACAGTCCCAGACCACACCAAGACAACAACAACACACAAGTGCCTCAATGAACTATCGATGATACACAGGATGGGGGGGGGAGGGGGTCAAAGTTACACATCACATTTGTATCTGGCACGAATGGTCTGCTTGGGGGGGAGTCGGACCGGCATCCTCATCCCCCTCGCGGTCTCCTCCGCGGCCAGCGGAGTCACGTGACACGACGGGGAGCCACCCAGACGTGACGTCACAGTTCAACTCCAAGCACGCAAGTGCATTTGGGTATTCGCGCCATTCTCCAAGGCCACATCGTCAAGGTGTTTCACAGACACTGTGTGCAGCAGTTGCACAATGTGGGAGTGAAGTTGCTATGGTGATGTGTCATCCCAATTAAGTAATTTGTGGTGTAATTTGTCAACATGCAATGGCCGACTGTATTTCAAATGCCGTCAAAAGGTCTTTAACGGCTTCTGCGAAGAAGGCAAGTGCAGTATTTACGTTTAACACGGCCGCAGTATTATCCAGGGCATCCGCTGGGTTTCAAACCACGAACCCCTGCAACGATCGGTGAACGCGCTCCGGCCGTGCCACGTGACAGCCTTGAGTTCTCACCCGGTGAAGCAACACGAGAGACGCCTGCACATTGACCGCTGGACTCTGTCGGCCTTCCGGGTCGCAGGCGGACTTGGCGCTGGAGTTGTTTGCAAGCTGCACGCGCGCAGGGTGAGTGGCGGCGGCGGCGGCGGCGGTGGTG